TAACTTTGATGTTAAATATATCAAAGGTACGCATAACGTGGGTGCACAAAGTATTATCTATTTTAGTTGTAACACGTTCATTGTCAAATAAAAAGCAAATAGCAATAAACTAAAATAAAGGCATAATGCCAATACCAGATCGTAAAATATACGATTCTTTGGAGAATCTCAATTATTTATTAAAAATTCCTAGTCTAAACTTTGAGGTAAAAAATAATTATATTAAAATTAAACTGTCATATAAAGGTAAAACGCAGTTTTAATAAATCACGCAACTTACATAAACTGGAAGCACGTGACCTACCTTAAAACGCTGGGTTGATAACTAATCGATACCTTTCGTAGTTTGCTCATTTTTGGGACTTAAGTGGAGAATAACGTGAATTTTTAATTTGAATTTGAAAATCTTGAAAACGTCCCAAGGGATAACCTAACTCTTATTAGGGAGAGGTATTACGACTATCAAGCTAAACTGCCCTGTGAATGGGGATTTGAAATTTTGAAAAAAAACAACTCTTTTTTAACATCCTGTACCTAGTAGCTATGTGCACAATATCGTATTCCCAAAATTGGACGTAAGTCAAAGAATCCACTATTGCTCATTTTTTGGACTAAACTGGGGAATACCGACAATTTTCGAAAAATTTGCATATAATCGTAGTAAGCCACGATATCCACAAAATCTTGAAAACGTTCCGATGGTTTACCTAAATTATATTAGGGAGGGGCATTACGACTATCAAACTCAACTGCCCTATAGGGCAGTTGAGTTTGATAGTCATATATGAATGGGAAGAACTTGAAATTTCGGAAAAAATACATCTCTTCGTTTAACACCCTGTAGTATAATGCTATGTGTAAAATATCGTATTCTCAAGATTTAACATAAGAGTCAAAGAATCAGCTATTCAGAATTTCCAAATATTTTTTAAATCAATTCAGTAATTTTCCAATAACGAACAAATTTTTTTTCAAAAAACTAGGTGCGTCGTTTTTTATGACGAGCAGTTTATATTAATAACCTAAAATAGTACGTTCTTAAATTTATCAAACCCACTTATCCCCCCTTGGCTACGGCCTTGGTTATACTAACGTCATGAGTTCATCTCATGATTTTTTACCATGTTATGCATAACTAATGAAATTCTCATGAGGTGTACCTATACGTTTTGCGTTTCGAACATGCGATCAGTGAAACGGCTATCCTCGAGCGCTCGAACCATAACCTATTATATTCTTATTCCATAACCTCGTTTGTCACTTGCACGTACACATACCTTTATGTTTTATCGTTTATGTAAACATACCCATGATGCTGGATTGACTTTAAGTTCGACCTTTAGGACGGTGCTCTTACTTAAAACGTTTCGCTCACCGACTAATTTCGTGAAAGTCGTCCAAAATCAGTCGTTGTCGCAAAAAACATTGATGCTTTGAGTGAACTGGTACTGCAAGATCGTCATCTGACATATCGTGAGATATGGCGGGATTTCAAGACAAGATGGCGGCCGAAGTAGATCTAAATTTTCTTGGAGCAAGATTAAACAAAGAAGAATTGGTTTCAATTATTCTCAGCAGGCAAGTGGAAATAAAAAGTGTCCCAAAAATGTCTAAAGCAACAGTAGAAAAACTTAAGCAAATGGTCAAGGTACATCTCTTACCCAAAACAACAGAAGCATCATCAACTGAAGAACATAGCAATAAACAAACAGATAAAAACAAAGATTTATTGAAAAAAATGGTATCACAGCTAGAGAGCAGAATAACTAAACAGAGTAGTATTATAAAACATTTTGTGGAGACAAACAAACAACAGAAAAGTGAGGTTAAAAGCACATACAAAGCAATTTTGACAAAAAAAGATAAGGCTATGAAGGAAAACAGAAATCAATCAATCAAGCAAAATACACACGGTGACTTAAAAAAACAACAAAATGCTAACTTAAAAGAAATTGAAAAACAGCAGTCTGAGTTGGCACAAAGCAATATTAATTTAACAAAACCCGATCATAATAAAGAAATATCTCATAAAAAATACACAAAAAGATTCTGAACTGAGAAAGTGGAGGAAAAAACAAAGAAACTGAGTTTGTTGAAGCCGACAGAAAAGCCTGGTTATATATATACCGCATTTACATTTAAAACCTGAACATTCGAGTGGACCCGAGTGAATCCGATCGCCCCTCTCCAGATGCCCCTTCCCAGATGCATTGTAAGCAGTTTGCCGGCGTAGGCAAGGAGTCAGTTTTGTTTTGCATTTGCTAGTGTGTATTTCGAGGGTTAATAAATTAATTTCTTTTATTTAAATTTATAATGTCCTACACATTGCAAGAGAAAATTGACATGATAAGCTAGTCTTTAGTGGGAAATTCTCTACATCAAACAAGATACCTATTCGCAATTAAATATCCGGAACGTTATATTCCTTTAATGGGAACAATAACAAACGTTATCCAAAGGTTTAAAACAAGTGGTTGTATTTTGGGGTGTAATGTCACAGTACTCCCAGAATTGATGTAGATGCGGAGATGAAAGAAATAATGGTTTGTGCAATGGTAGAAGAAGATTCAAATACATCAATTCCTAAAATAGCCGAGACCGCCATTAGTGTGTAAAGTCCACAAAATATTAAAAAAAAATAAATATCGTTCCTATAAATACCAAGTAAATTTTTCAAGACGACGAGTACCGAAGAATGGAATTTTGTGAAAATATGATGGAACGCGCAAATGAAGATGAACATTTCATTGAAAACATAGTATTTACCGACGAATCCACATTTCCATTACATGGAAAGCACAATTCTGCTAGTGTCCGGTACTGGTCTATTGAAAATGAGTACATGCAACTAAACTTAAAGACTCAGTATCCTGAAAAGTTGAACGTGTGGTATGGTATTTATGGGAATAATATTATTGGTCCCTTTGTAATTGGTGGTAATTTAAATGGAGCGAGATATTTGGATCTTCTTCAAAATGGAATTATTCCTGCAATCCAAAACATAACCCCAAATTTGGATAAAGTTTGGTATCAACAGGACGGTTGCCCATCACATGACACAAGAAAAGTGATGGAGTATTTACAAGAGATTTTTCCCCAAAGGATAATTTCTACCACGGGCGCTATTTCCTATGGGGATATGTAAAATCTACCTTGTACCGTCATGAAAAAACGAATAATTATGGCGAATTAGCGTTTGAGACAATTACTCCAGATATGCTAGCTAATGTTCACACCGAATTTTATGACAGACTGGGCTTTTGTTTGACGCAATTTGGGGGAACGTTTGAAAATAGGTTTTGAATAAATTATTCAAAGCTTGTGTTCAAATAATAAGACTGTGCTCGAATCGGTAACTTTTTTCTAACAAGCAGGGCACCCAGGGGGATTACCTAATTCGAATACGCTAAATCCAGTCGCTTTTTTAGGTTAGCTCTTGTTTTCGAGATATTTTAGATTTAAATTGTAGATCCAAGCATTACAAAAAAACCATTATTTTTCTCATTTTAAAACCATTTACTGATTATAAATTGATAAAAATCGATGGAATAAATATATAGACAGTTACATATTAAAAAGAACCTATTTAAAAAAAAATTTGGTCGATTTTGAAGTGTTTTTTTATGATTTTTTTCTCAAAAAATATACAGTTTTCATAGTTTCATATAAATACAGTATTAAACGTACTAAAATGTTTGGAATTCGGCCCTGATGCCAAGTCGTCTTTCTTATGTTTTTATCAATGATAACTTCTACGTCCAAGAATTATAATGCAAAAAGAAACATTGTTTATACACACTGTTTATATAAACAAGATCAGCGGCAACGGAGCTCACTTTAAATTTTAAACAATGACAGATTACTTGGTAACCATAGATACCGTCAACTCACCCGTTGCAGGTTTCTTGATACAAAATAATATTTAAAATTTTAGAAATTGTTAAATATCTCTAAAATTATTAACTTTAGTCTGAACAAGCATTCGTTAAATACGCAAGCGTAGCAAGAATGCAAGTTTTCAATCGACCATTCTTAACGAGTTGCACATATTATTTTGTCCACAATCAAATAAACTTCAATACGTTAGTTAATACTAACAATAGGAATTGAGTGATCAATTGTTAACGAACTGACGAAGCTTAGGTACATCCTAACATCTATCAAAAGAAATTAACCTCACTTTTTTCCAATTAAATTATTTTTTCTTTATTTCTTTCGATAAAAATTATTTAAAAGGAATTTAATTTAGTTCCAAATATGTAAATAATGTTTAAAATCATATTTATGTAAGTATTTATTATATGTAAAAATAGCTGTAATTTATTGTTTAGAATTATTGTCTTCTTTTTCTTCTTTTTTATGTTTAACTAGCTTACTTTGTTTATTTTTTTGAGCGTATAGTGTCTTAATTTCAAGTGGGTGTGGGCCAAAAGATTTATTTTCAGGATTTAGTAAAAACATATACATTTAATACATTTTTATAACAAGAAATTATTGGGGTTTCGTCCATTTTGCAAATCGTTTGTATAGGTACTCTATAAATACGCGAACTTTCGAATGTTTATGTTTCCTAAGAGCATAACGTTAACAAATATAAAAAGATATTAAAAATGTTGCCAAGTTTAAATCATTGACAAAGGAAAAAAAGAGAGTTACCATATACCTACCGTCATAAGATATTGGGTAAACAGTTTACAGTTAACAGTTTCCCGTAAACTAATTGTAAGTAACTAACCGAACATATTGTCGTTGAAAAGCCGAATCTAGTTTTTACATCCATACTACTTTAAACGTTAAAATACATATAAAAGTTACTTTTTATAATTAAACATTTAAATTATGTATTTTATTGTCCCTTTTCATAATAATACCAATAAAAGGCCCAGAATTAAGGGATTTTTAATAATAAAAACATAATAAAAGGCCCAGAATTAAGGGATTTTTAACATTGCAGGGATGCGATCAATTCTCAGTGCTTACAAAAATTAAAATTAACTTACCAAAACATTCAATTTCATCTATACCGTTTGGACAGTCTGGAAAACCATCACATAGGCGAAAAGATCCGACTCGTTCCTTGCACGAACAGAACATTTCATCACTGGAATCGTCACAGTTTACTTCATTGTCACAAATTTGATGAAGCATTATACATTTGCTTCCATCTTGACAACTTTGTTCCCCAATTGGACAATCCACAGCTTCCCTTGAAATGTTCCTAAAATAATACTATTTATTTATCCTTAAAAAGGGACAATATATTTTAATCCCACAACAACCCTTAAAGGCTTTAAGTTTTGCGCAGGGTAATACTTTACCTCCTATCTGGTTCACTTTCCACATGCTCCAATAAATCCTGTAGGTTTGGTGTTTCGTTTTCCCTTACTTCTATTCCTGGCATAGCAGCAATATTGGGAGCGTTATTGGAAGAAGCAGATATTGGTTGGCATATATAATATTGACCATTCGGCCCTGATGCCTGCACAGCATATGGATTATTTGTAACAGGAAATTGAGTATATTGTGGAGATACGAAGGAGTATAAAGGTGGATTCATAACAACGAATGGAGATTGAATTGACGGAGGTTTTGGCTGATTTACTGGAATTATTTTCAGCACCTGACTGTTGTCAAAAGGGCTTTTAAATTGATTGTACAGTTGAGCAGTTGGGTAAAAACATGGATTAATTATAGTTTGTTGATTCGATTGCAAATCTTCACTTGTTATGGATAATGCATCTGTTTTTAAATTTCCTCTGGCCTTTAATTCGCTTGCGTCAAAATTAAGTCTACCCAATTGTGAGCTATTTGGGCTATTATTTGTAATATCTTTTTCTTTTTCTAACTTTTCTGTATTCCTTTTATCTTTCGAATCATTAAAGTTTGAATCATTGGGCATTATGTCCTTGTTTTTCTTTTTTCTTTTTATTACCGAATTATAATGACTTGCTGGATCATTTTCTTTTTTATTATTCCATATCACACTATTTGGTGGATAGTATTTTGTCTCATGAACATTATTGTTATTGTTATCAATACTTTTTAAATTTATTTTTGCATTTTGTACTAATTGTAGATCATAATCCTTAGGGTAAGACATATCTTGAGGATTAACATGATCTTGATCATATATGTCGTCAGACATTTGCATAAAATTATGTGTTTGTCGTCTTTTTCTTAAGTTTAATTTTTTTTCATAATTTATAAGTACATCAAGAACATCATCTACAGTACAAAGTTCTCTAATAGTATATAAGTTTGTTTGTAAAAAAATATCACAGCAATCCTTAAGACTTTGTGTGATCTTACATAGGTCAAATTTTTCTTTCAAGTCTGCTAAATAGCTTTTTATTTTCTTTTTAAATATTCTTCGTTTTTGGTTAACTTTGGTTAAATTTGCATTTTTAATGTTGTTATTTTTTGATAATTTTAAATTTTGATCTATCCATTTATTATTTTTGTTATCCATTAAATTAAAAAAGTTCCCTTTACTTTCATTAGTTAATGCTTCTTTTGTATGTAAAATTTTGGTGGATGTATAATTATTCGTAAGATTTGAAGATGTATATGGCATATTTAGAAATAAATTGTATTCTGAAAACAAAATATTGTTCATAAAAATTTATGCTTTTAATAAACAGCTAAAGCGATAACAAAATATCGAATTTGCGAATTCCCCAGTAAATATTATTATCCAGTACGAGGAAATTTAATTTTTTTAGCCATCCATGAAAATTTCTACAGATATTGAAAATAAAATTTAAAAAATGCACATAATATAACAGCTTCGATAACAGCTGGACTCTATAGTTAAAAAATGTATTTATTGAATAAATAGACAATATATATATATATATATATATAATATATTATATTATATTATAATATATTATATACATTGATTTAGAATATATATATATATATAAATATATATTCTAAATCAATGTATAATCTTCAAATTAAAAGACCAAGATTTTTTTCCAACATATATTGAATAGGTAAATACAAATCTATTGATTTATTAAAAAAAAAAATTTAAATACAAATTATTTTTTTCATTTACATTTTTTTTTAAATTTTTTATAAGTATAATTTTTGTATTATGTACATACAATATTTAAAGAAAAAAATTTATTTATAACAAAATCGAGAATAAAATATATGTATACCTATGTAAAATAATGGCTGTATAAAAAAATTAAATGACGTGATTTAGTGAAACGTTTTTTTAACCTCTATTTTCAAAATCTGTTAACATTTTTCATATAAGGGAAATTGTGTTGAACTGTATAATAAGCAAATAAATAATATTTTTAATTAACCGTTCATGTATTTAAAACTTACCATTTTTAATTAAACAACTTATTATATATGAAAATATACCCAATGCTAGAACACTCAAACATATACCCAATATTTTTATGACGTTTATTGTATTGGTTTTAACTGGATTCGGCATGTATTTTTTCTTTAAATCTAAAAAGTAATATTAGGGTAAGTATGTCTTAAACAGTTTATAAATAATAAAGTACTTGTTGTAAAACAGAAGGGTGCTCAAAAAGATATAAAAGAAGTAAAGGAAGATAGCGGGGAATTTCTAGACCACTGGAAGAAATCTACAATTGTTCCAGTACCAAAAGTATACAAAACCAAACTTAATTTAGGCCTATAAATATGGTAGAACTTCTACCATATTTACCGTAGAAGTCTATGAAAATATTTTAGAATTGGTAGTTAAACAACAGTTACAACAACATTGTGATACCCATAATATAATTGTGTTAAATCAATCTGGTTTTTCTAAAGGTAATTCGTTTTTGTCTCATTGTAACTATATGTGATACATTTTTAAAAGCAAAAGGAAAGATTGTTTTATAGCAGTATTTTTATACCTACCTTAGAAGAGCATAAATTTAAAACTGTAGATAGAAATATTTTACTTTAAAAACAATTATTGTGGTATTAAGGATAATGTTTTAAAATGGTTTAAATCATGCCTAAGTAATAGAGATCAAAGAGTGAAATATGATAATGTTATGTCTGAGTCTACTTTTGTAAATTGGAATGAAGTGAATGGAGTGCCTCAAGGTACTGTGTTGGGTCCAATTCTATTTTTGTTGTAAGTATGTAAATGATATAGATACTGAAATTACTGATACTGACTTAAAGATTACGGAACATCATATAAATGCAGAGATCTACATAAAATATTCAAATGGTTATGCAATAACACCGAAAAAACGAAGTAGGTACTCCCAAATTTGGGAGAAAATATAAATTAGGTGAAATCGACACTATTAACATAAATATACTAATATATGATAAAAATATAGTAGACGAAAATCAAATTAAATATTTAGGAGTGTTATTTGACAATAATTTAAATTTTCAGCCTCATGCAGGTACATAATGAGAAAATTTGCAAAAAAAACAAACTTTATTTCATAGTTGGTAAAAACTTGTCTATGTAGGTACACCAATTACTCCTTTATAAAAGTATTGTACAATTACCAAATTATAAAATTTAACAATTTCAAGTAATTCAAAATAGAGCTTTTAGAACAATTTTAAAATGTAGTTATTATACCCCAGTTAAATGTTTTGAAAATGCTGTCTGTGAAACAAAAAATCGTCTGTAATGTTTATAAGTTTATTTTTAAAATTAAGTATAATTTACTACCCCAATATATTTGTCTTTAAAGATGTTTATTCATATAAAACAAGGAATTGTTCTGACTTTATTCTAGTCGATAAGTGCAATACTAATCAAATGCTTAATTCCATACTGTGCAAAGGTCTATTAGACTTTAATAAATTACCTATTGAAATTAAAACATGTAATAAATACAACTTATTCAAATATCTGATCAAAACATATATAATGTCCAATTAACGTTTTTCTACGTTTTTCTACAGTATTATACATATTTGTGGTTATTTCTTGTGTAGGTTTATTGTTTGTACTACTATTATCATTTATATTTATATTTCATATTTTATATCATAGTTTTTGTATGCATTAACGCATTTGCGTGCGTAAAATAAGCGTGCAGAAAAGTACAACTTTGCGCACGCGAGTAGAAAAAACATGTATTCAACTTTTAATATAGACTTTATTTAGCAAAATTGCTAAATAAAGTCTATATTTATTAATTTATTAATTTATTTATTTAGTTTTGTAATCTATAATCTATATAAATAAATAAATATATAAATATATGTATATAATTATATAATAATATATAATTATATATATATATATATATATATATATCGTCGTTTATCTGACAAAGAGGCGTATCTCATTTTTAAACAAAACGGTGTGAATTGAATTACGCCAGTTTGTACGGCACACAAAATGCAAAAATATTAGTTACGCCGAAACTCCTTAATGCTAAAACTTTATTTGTACCTATTTATTATAGAGCTACGCCAGTTTGTGAGATTATAAAGTCGATTTTGGTGATCATTCTGGTATAACTCAAAAACGAATTTTTTTGAGTTACGCCTCTTTGTCAGATAAACGACGATATATATATATATATATCCGAAATTAGTGCACCATACTTTAATAGCAGATTCCACGTGCAAAAATATGAAAAAAAGTCCCTATAGATATAGGTCGAGAAATGCCTCCTAAGGGAGCTACAGCCCCCGAAAAGGGAGCCCCTGAATATGGTTTTTATCTAATATTTATAAAAAAGTAGAAACACCCTGTCATGAAACTGTCACCTGTCTTGAATTATTCTATTTTTCCTAAACGTATTCCAAGGACCACGCGAGTCCATTTCTATGGTTGTGATTTAATTGTGAATTTTTATGCCATGTAAAATAATTTTCAAATGGATTTTAAGCGAAAACGGTGTATGTTAACGAAGTTTAAAAAGGTGACCTTTTTTATGTGCAAAACTCCAAAATTTCATAATCTGACATCAAATTCTGGTACAAGATACGTACAAAAAAGTTAAGGTGGTTTTAACCCCACTTCCTATCAATCTGACCCAAACCTCATGAAATTTTTTAAATTGTTATTATTACGTCTTATTGGTCATAACAAGTTTAATTAATTCCCTAAATTTCACTTTTCTATCTTTAACGGTTTTGGAGATATTAAATAAAAACCATCTTCAGGGGCTTTCCTTTTGGGGGCTGTAGCTCCCTTAAGAGGCATTTCTTGACCTATGTTTATAGGGACTTTTTTTCTTATTTTTGCACGTAGAATCTGCTGTTAAAGTATGGTGCACTAATTTCAGGACACCCTGTATATATAATTATAATATAAAAAGGTAGGAATCTTTCGCACGCTTGTAGAAAACATTTTAAAGTTAAAAATTAAAACCAAATAAGGAAATTAGCAAGATTCCCTTGCTTGTAGACAAAATATTGTTCCTAACACAGGCACCAAGTAATTTTTCCGCACTTACTGCTTGCCTGATCTCCGCTTCGCGTCGTTCGTGCAATTGCTACTGCTTGTGGGAAAATATACTTTTCGCACTTGTTAGGAAAATAACTATATTTAAAAAGTAAATTATTTTTTAACCCCGAATCAGATATGATGTGCCCGAATAAAATCTTTCTAGTTCACAAGTCTAAATGAAAAAAAAAATACTTTAATAATATTACCTACTTTTATTTAAAAAATATGTCATTCGGTACTTAGGTTCACTTATTTTTAATATTAGGGAAAATTAGGGAAAATTACAGCAAAATTAGGTACTTACCTGGAATATTATGTTCCCCACAATTAAGGTCAACATTCATCATCCCACTGGGTTCATTAAAAACACTGCTTTCCTTTTTTAACATTTTTTTACAAAATGTAAATGCTCCCATTTTTACAAAATTTCTATCATACCTAATTGTAATACAGTGAGACTGTTAAATTAAATAAGTTGCAAACTAAGTAAAATTGTTCACATGTACATTGCTTACATGCATATTTAAATGTACTGCAAGGGACTTAAACATGTAGTCTTTTTTATTATTAAATAAACATAATAAAGTACCTATATTTTGACCGTTAAAAACAATTAAATATACATGAATATTATATCCAACGATTGGTGTTTAAAATTTTTTTTTGGTTATTTTTAGTTATACATCCTGGTCCAGTTTATATAATAATATTATATAAAGATAGTTTGTAAAATAAAATATGTTAGGATTTTGCTTTCACTTTGGATGTTTAGGTGTAATTATAATTTTTAGAATCTATCCATACCCATTCAAAATTTAAAACAATACCGCGTTGTTTATCCACCAAATAATTGGTGACATCATCCGAGACAATGACTTTATATGTACCCAACATGAACAATGTAATGGGAAGAAATTAAGGAGACGTTCAACACATTTTTCTACTCCTATTATGCAATATGACCGTTCTAATATCTCTTTATAATGTGGAATAACATATATTCCTGAAAGTATTACAAAATAAATTATTTTATCATCTGATGACGGAATAAACACTGGTGGCGACATCTCTGTGTTTAATATCTAACAAATTTAGACCAATCCAACCTCACTTTCTCCCAATTAAATTATTTTTATATGGTATTTTTTGGAAACGTAGAAAAATTATGGTCTGAAACACGTTTGGAATTGCATATTCCGCTCTCGTGAAACCGCCTTCGGCTCGTGTGACAAACTTTTCACTCGAGCGGAATATGCTGTATTTCAAACTTGTTACAGAATATACTATTCAAACACATCCAAAAACTCATAAACGGACTGTTAGTTCATGAGTTCTTGGATGCCCCGGGCGGCACTTCTTGGGGCGGCAAAAATCGTGAGAGAAAATGCGAAAAAAACTGGAAGACAGAATATAAAAATAAAAAAAATATTTGATAATTATATAATTATAATTAAATATTCTCTTTCGAAATAATATAATTCAAATTCCAATAGATTTGAGATTTATACAATTACTCCCAAAATATTCCAAATCAAATAAAGCTAGCAAAAAATAGAAACAAGACCGGTATTGTACCTTTGATGAGTAATCAGTCTACCGCCAACATAAGTTACCAATAAAGGTTTTCGAGAAAAGCTGCCGGCCCACTGCAATTCTGGATATGCGTTCGCACATCGCGAGCATTAATAAACTGGAAAATTGTACAGCCGGCCGCGACGTCGTGTGTTTACTTTTTTGCTAGTCTAGTTGAAACTGTTAAATCAAAATAAACCCCAATAATTCTTTAATATCCATAACGTTAAAAAACACTGACGGTGTTGTGTTATATATAGGAACCTTAAGGTAAGTTTATTTCTGAATCTTGTGATTTAAGTTTTTTTTTGTAGGTACTTTTACATAAGGTTAAGAATTTATCTCTTTGTTTTTTTCATATAAATTATGTTAAAGCACATTTTATTTGTTGTTTTTCTTTACCTAGGTCTAAGAATTTTTGTTTGTTATTAATTCTTAAAATATTACAATTTAATGTTATATATATATATATATGTTATATATATCATTATATATTTTTAATTTTGCGTACGGTCCTCAAAACTGACTTCTAACCTAACCTCTCTTCCCCCCCCCAAAAAAAACATGAGGGCGACAGCCACTGCTGCCCCGGGCGGCACTTTTTCTAGTTACGCCGCTGGTAATCCTTGTATTCCTCTAACATAACCTTGCTGTTCCATGCTCCGCTCAAGCCCTTATAGAATTTGTATATTAAAAATTAATTGCTAAATGATACATTTTAGAAATAAATCACAATGAAGTTGTTGTCCTCTTAACAAGCGGTATAGAAGCAAAACAAGCAATCTCCACAACGCGTTGCAACGCATGGTTGGCTGACCTTGGACAAAAGTACTTCAAGGGTCACTTTTTACTAGAACATTTTTAAACATGCAGTCATATAGAAAAAACTTCAAGAAATTTAAATATGTTTTCATTTTTGTTATATCTTTTTTAATTATGAAGTTATAACCCGTCAAAGTTAATGAATTTTTAGGATTTAAGTTTATTGAAAAAAGGCAATTTTTAATCATCTATATAATAAAAACCAGTCGACGAATTATACCAAATTAAACATAAGTATATAACAGTTAAATAATATAAAAAATAAACAAATATAATTAAAGAAACCTAGGCATTTACGATTTTAAATAGTGTTAAAAGGACTAAAATTTCACCCCAAAAACGACACAAAAGCCATTAGCCGAGATAAGCCTGGGCGATATTATATTGAATTTATAAAATCCTCTAGTACACAATGTTGCAAAATAATAAAGCACATAGGTCACACAATTTTTTTCCTTGTTATTGGTAATTTTGTACGCAACATTATAAGCTTGGACCTCTTAATTTCGAGTACAAGAGTAGAGGATAAAACCTACCTATGTTATGCCGTGATTTTATTTAATATAACACCTATTGTTATTATTATTAAAATTTATATTGGATTTAATTTATTAAAATCATTTAGATTTTTTATAAAATAATTAGACAATTATCGGACACTTCATAGTTATTGGACAATGAACATTAATACTGTAAAAACAAGAGTTCTATAATGTTACCTTAAAGTCAAATCATTAGATGACGCTGAAGCGTGTATACATGTATACAATTATAAGGGGTCATCCATTAATTACGTGAGGCAATGTTGGCGATTTTTCGACTTCCCCTCTCCCCTTGGTGAGATGTCGTGAGATTTTGCTCGACCCCCTCCCCCCTCCCTTAATCTAACGTGAGATTTTTCAAAATGCATGGTTTTAATGTAAATAAGTTAATCTGTGCTTGATTTCATTAGATTTATTTAAAAAAACAATTTGCTTATAATTGTTTACTTAATTTAACGCAATTTTACACTGTTTCATTTGAAAATAAAAAATTACGTGATATTTGCCGAGGACACCCTCCCCCCACGTGAGATTGGGTGAGGTTTGGCTCGACCCCCTCCCCCCCTAAACACCTCACGTAATTAATGGATGCCCCTTAACTACTTTAGTCGGTAATAATATAGAACTACTTTATTTTGGGTCCAATATAGGACAAAAAAGTTCGCACGTTACTTTGGTGGTAAGATTTTTGTTTGTTTGTTAAGAGCAGGGCTGTGTTTAAATTACAATAAAAAATGTTTCTAAAAATTGTACAGATCAGTGTGTTCCTCATGGTTTAAACATTATCACTTTAATGCGTTTTAATTTTAATTCTGGAAACAAACAGTAAATTGACCAGTGTCCAATTACTGGTTGGTAAAAAATGTAAATTTCTATTATTGAACAATATCATACTCTATTTATATCCTGGACATTCTTATGTAAAATTTTCCCCTGAATCCGAAAAAAAAGTCAAAAACTATAAAAATTAAGCAGTTTTTGAGATATAGTCAATTACATATTATATGTAATATTGATTATGGGTCATTTTCAAGAAACACCCGCTTTCAGGAAAATGAAGATCAAAATTTTTTTTTGCTTAAATTGACTTTTGGTTGGATTTTTATAAATGTTTAGAGTTTTGTTTACTTACATATAAGACAGGCACCTTTTAATTTTTTTACGTTTTTTTCAGAAAACTTTATATATCTCCACTGTGTTACCAATTTGAAATCCAAAATTTCAATAAAAAAAAGTTGTTATAAAAATAATTTGAAATAAAATGTACTTAGTTCACAAACTTTTGACTCCAATTTTTTATTTTATTTTTTAATAAAAATTGTATGCTTTTTTAAATATGTGTGTTCGTTAAGTTACTTTTTAAAAGAAACCATTCCGATTCTTTTTAAAAAAAACAATACCATTAATATTTTCTTTTAGTCATAGAAATAGTATGTTAAACTCTAATTTATAAACACGTATTACCAAGTGATGGTGTATAAAAATCATTTTAAGTATTTTTTTTAACAAAAAAAAAGTAACGAAATAGACATTGGTATCACAACGGACTGGGGTACACAAAGGACTTAATCAGATAACGTAAACAAGAAACTATAAAATGTGGTACGATTTTAGAGTAATGCATAAACAAAATCCCTTGTAGTGGTGGTCACTTGCAGAATAACAACTTAGATTTCTAAATTGTAGACACCCTTTTTCTTTGACTATAAGCTGGTGAAGGTCCCTTTTAGTATTTGTATATTGCGTGGAATTTTCCCTTGGATGTAATCTATATCATGAGTTGTAAGCACAAATAATTTTAAATTGGTTTATCATAAACTACGGTAAATATCCACTTTGTTGTCGAAAAATTCTATTGCGTTACCATAAGGTAACATAATGGACTCGGTAACGCAGTGGACAAAGTTTTGTGAAACCATATTTAAAAAATAATAATAAGACATTACAGTCATTAACTCGGTAACGCAGTGGACAAAGTTTTGTGAAACCATATTTAAAAAATAATAATAAGACATTACAGTCATTAATTACTTTCAATGAGCTTTAGTGCCCTAAAATAAACTTAAAACTTGAAAAATAGTATTTTTTCTTACCTTATTTTTATTATTTTTTTAAGTAACTTAGCGGACAAACAATTATTACATTCGCGTTAACCGCGATATTCTATCGGTAACGCGTCTCGTTCTTTCAAAATCATCTGTGACTAAACGGGTAAATATTTTTTCATAAAATTTTGGCCACATGACCATATGCATATAAACCATAAAATATATGCACAATTTTAAATTTAGACCAGTGGCGTAGATTTTATAACGGAATTTATCATAATAATAAAAATAATATTAAACATTAATGTTGTTTTTGGTTTAAATGTCAATATATGTTATAATTAAGCTTAAACAATAACATATATTATTATAATTATTTATTAAACAATGATTAAATAAAAATAAAATTTATATTTTTATATTAATAATTTTAAAACACCTGCATCTAAAGTAGAA